ACGTGGCGTTGTTGCTTAAATTTAAAAAAAAAAATCGAAAATTTGTGACATTTGTTATTCCAGCTATTGTTATCATATTATTCAGTTTTGAAAAATTAAACTTCTAACTATGGAAGAGGAAGGTATGTACTATATTTTGAAATAAAGTTATTTTAAATTTCTGTCGTTATTGTGCATAATATAAAGCGCTTTTGCGATGGCCTATTTGAGTTTCAATTTTTACATAAAGTTATGAGACAATAATGTTTTTGTTGACAAGTATGGTAATGTCGAGTTAAAATATTTTTACGAGCAATAAATATAGGCTGTTAACAATCAGACACTTTTGTAAAATTATCCGCCAACATCCGCCACCTTTTGTTTTGAAAATAGTGTGTAAACCAATACGTAATATATACAATCTCGTAAAAAGCACTAAAATAAAATAAATTCTTGAGATTTTAAAAATGTTTTACACAAACTTAACTAAATTACGTAAAAAAATCTTAAATAGGTTATATAATAAACTATTAAACTATAAAATCTCAAACAAATATAAATGTTTTATTTGTCGATTGTTACAAACATTGTTACTCAGCTTTGTATTTATTGTTTTATTATTTATCTTGTAGATTCGTCTGAAGTAAAAAAACTGTTCACTCGAAGAGAGTTATATGAAATAATGAAAGATTATAAAGGTAAAAATTTTGAAGAAAAGTTTTCGTTGTTAAAAGAACAACTTTTAACAATTATGAAATATTTAAAAAAAATCAAAAAAGTGCCATAACAAGAATTTTACAATTCTTTAAGAGCGATTTCAAGAAAAGATGGATAGCTGCAAGTTATAAACACAAAAGTTTTATAAAAAAACAATAAACAATGGCTCAAATCAAACATCGAATTATCTTATTGGTCAATAAACGTTCAACAGAGACCTGGAAAATCATCAAAATTATATATAGAACTTAGTGATTGCAGTAAGCGTAGAAAAACTATGGATCTGTGCGAGCAGGTATCTGTTGATGAGTTGACGTATGCAACCAGAGTGAGCACACTTCAGGAAATACTGATGAAGCAGAATTTATTAATGAAAATACTGCCACGCCTACTAGAGCATACAAATACCAAAAAGTATTTAACTTTGCCTCAAAAAGAGTAACTGTCAATAAATTAACACCTCAAGAGGCACTGGAGTTGTTTGTATACAATATGCTATATGCTTTTGTCTGGTAAAATCGCCTTCTATAGAAGGCGATTTTACCAGAAAAGGCTGAGAACTAATTCAAAGTAGAAAAAAAAATGTCTATCCCTGCTACTCAATAATTCAACAAGCCAAAAAAGAATGTTACCCTGATAAGGAGTTTATACAAGTTACCGAAACTTCAGTGGAAATTCAACAACAAGCATTACTTGACCACACCACATTGCGCTTCTATAAGTATGTCTCAGAGGTGTTAGAAAAGTGTTCAGAAGAAGAACAGAAGAATATGGTTTTATTATCAAAATGGGGTTGTGATGGATCACAACAAGCAAAATTTAAGCTAAAATTTCAAAATAATATCGACAGTGACGCAAACATTTGTCAAAGTTCTATAGTACCTCTGAGAATGTTTGTTAAAATTGATCGTGAACAGGAAAAAATTATATGGCAAAACCCAGTTAATTCTTCTCCAAGGTTCTGCAGGCCCATTCGAATATGCTTCATTAGTGAATCGAAAGAAGTATAACACGTAAAAAACCAAATAATGAATCTTAGCGAAACAAGGTTGCCCAATCAAACCCGAAATTACCTTCATAAATAACTGGTGTTAACTTGAATTTAACAAAACGTTGCGAATAATTTAAGGCGAATAAGTCTTTTTTAAGGCGAATAAGTCTTTTTCTTAATAATAAATTACTCTCTAAAAGTTTTTTATTTTTTTATTTAAACGTTTAATTTTGATAAAATACTGAGTTTCAAACTAAAAAATTGAAAAAATACTCATAAAATATTTTTGAGCGGTTTTGTCATATAAATACTCCACTGTGCAGCATTAAGTCACGTGGAAATACCTTTATTTGATTATTCGTCAATTTGGCAACTGTCTCAAATATCCAATTAAAAAAAAAAGTATTATGTAAAATATTGAAATTAATATATTAAACTACTTTGTTTAAAAATGTTCTGTATATTCAATAACCCAGTGTAAGTCCTATATACGGCAAAGTATAATAACATACATGTATATAACAAAAATTTTTCAAACTACGTAATCAATAGACTCGTCAAAAACTTTACTCGTTATAAAAAATTTAGCTACTGAATAATATCAAAACGAAGTTATGAGACAAAAAAAAGTTTGTAAAAAATTTAAATGCTTAGGAGATTTGTAAAATCTAGTTATAAGGAGGAGTGATTGCAAACAATCTCTACTTAAATCTATAAATGATCTATGATATGACATACAACTCTGAGATATTTTTTTTGTTTTAACAGTATTTGCTTAAGTGTTGCATTTTAATATATATATATATATATATATATATATATATATATATATATATATATATATATATATGCATATATATTTACACACACACACACACACACACACACACACACACATATATATATATATATATATATATATATATATATATATATATATATATATATATATATATATATATATATATATATATATATATATATATATATATATATATATATATATATATATATATATATGACATACAACTCTGAGTTTTTTTGTTTTAACAGTATTTGCTTAAGTGTTGCATTTTAATATATATATATATATATATATATATATATATATATATATATATATATATATATATATATATATGCATATATATTTACACACACACACACACACACACACACACACACACATATATATATATATATATATATATATATATATATATATATATATATATATATATATATATATATATATATATATATATATATATATATATATATATATGACATACAACTCTGAGTTTTTTTGTTTTAACAGTATTTGCTTAAGTGTTGCATTTTAATATATATATATATATATATATATATACATGCATATATATTTACATAAATATATATATATATATATATATATATATATATATATATATATATATATATATATATATATATATATATATATATATATATATATATATATATATATATATATATATATATATATATATATATATATATATATATATATATAATAATATATACACATTGCATTTTAATAAAAAAAAAATTTTTGACATCAAAGTTTTTAATACTTGGAACAAAAAAAATTCAGATTTGAACCAATTTAATAGTCGGGTATTTAACACAATTCAGCCGGGTAAATTTTAATTTCACCCCCCCCCCCTCTTTTTATTTGTAGAATCGCCTCTGGATGTGACTCGCACAGACAAAAATTTTTTTCAAATATTTAAAAACTAAGATTTGGAAGTAATGTACATGCGCATACACCGCATATACATTAAATCATTGTAAATATGTTAGCCATGACCAATCCAAAACTTCGCTTTGGGTTTGTTATTGCAAAAAAAGACCTTCGGATTCGATTTTAGCATTTTTTAAAGCATATGATTCCACCCAATAACCAATATTTTCCAAATTATCTTTTTTAAAAAATTTTTTAAAATTAACTTTTTAATTATTTAGGAAGTTTAAAAAAAAAAAAAATTAAACAAATATCAAATCAAACTAGCTTTTAAACTATTACTTGGATTTTATAATGAAACGTTGAAATTCATTTTAAAAAATTTTTTAGTGTTGATGTAACACAATAACACTGCATATACGTAATTGTTTTTAAAATTATGTATCCAAACATTTATTTATATTCATTTAAACTCTATACTTAAAATTATTTAATTGATAATGGCATATGGAACAGTCTATCATTTGTTATGCTTTTATTTGTTAAGCTGTAAAATGTCTGAAGATTTGTTAAAATAAAAGGTAGTAACGCCAAAAATGTAAGCAATTTACAGAAGTAAACAGATTTAAGCAGTTTAGGAGGTGAAGCCAGGGAATCAATCAGTTAGAGCAAAAAAAAAAAAAAAAAATATATATATATATATATATATATATATATACACACAATTTATTTTTTTATTTTTTTCATTTTTTACACAATTTTAGAATGCTTTTAAAAGTATTGCTAATTTTAGTAAGTATTTTAATTTCATTAAATATCTTAATTTATATTATTCAAAGTTATAAGAGATGGGTTAATTCTTTTTCTTGATAAATTTAACAAATTTAATTTCAATGGTTGAGCGTTTGATATCTTAACTAGTCAATTTGAAATTGATTTTGTTGGATTATTTGTGATGGTTTTGTTGGTTGTTTTTATCAAGCATTTACAAATTTTCACATTTTTTTTTTAAACTAGACTCCTTTAAAAAAGATTTTAAAATAAAAGCTTCAAATTAGTTTAATTATACAAATTAGTTTAATTATGCAAAACATAAACAAATACTTCTTTCTATATTTAATCTTTCTATCTTTCGTATATAACTTTTTTTTATATTTAATCTTTCAATATTTAGTTATAACTGCACAAAGTTTAAAGTAATATAGCTAGATATTTAAACAACCTATAGACTAAAATTTCTCGGATATTTATTTTCAAAAAATTTTCTAAAGTATTGTTTTACTTGAACTTTCAAATAAAATAAAACTTTTTTTTATTGAGCTAGTAACCATGAATAAATTTTTTTGCTCAATAAAAATGATTCAATATTTACTCTTTATACTTCAATAGAGTGGGCAAAATAGAGTTGAAAACATTTTAGTATAAAACTTTAATTGTTGTATATATATATATATATATATATATATATATATATATATATATATATATATATATATATATATATATATATATATATATATATATATATATATATATATATATATATATATATATATATATACATCTTATAGCATTTATTCTACGATACATGTAATTGTTTTTATTTTTTGAAGTTAAAAATGAGTAACAGATATTTTGTTCAAGAAAAGTTTTACAATTTTACAAACTCAACAAATTTTTTTATTGAAACTTCTATGATTTCCTCGAACACCGAAAATTGCAAAATGGTCATCTCCCTAAAAACAATTTTTTATTCTTTGTTAATGATACTTATCTTATTGGCGAGTGTAATGGGTAACATAGTTGTTGTGACTGCTATCTTAATATCGAAAGGGTTACGAAGAAAAACAACCATGAACTTTGTCATCAGTTTAGGTAAAAAAATTTACGAAGAGTATTTTACTCATTTTAAACACTTTTTAAAAATAATTGTTTATAATAAGTCGAAACCTTAGCACAGAATAGGAAAAAAAAACAAAACAGTGATCCCAACATATAAATTGGATGTGAGTCATATGTGTAATTAAATGATAGCCACACTCGATTTATGGGATGGCGTAATTGTGGGCTTTATGTGGTTATGGTTCTTTAACCATTTAAATGGTAATAGAGTCCACATGATAAATACCGTAACCAGGGCCGACGGCATTGGTTTCGAAGCGCGGGGGGGGGGGGGTAGTACAACCGTCAATTCTTAAAAAAAGTCAAGTCTTAAAAAATATTATCTAGAATTTTCTTATATTTAAATAAAAATAAAAAAAAAGTTCCTTTAGAAAAAAAGTTAGAAGCATGTACCCCGGCCCCCCTCCCCACCGTTGTCGTCAGCCCTGGTAACCATATATAGCTCACAAGTACGCATTCCTACAAGCTATCGCATGTTGCTTGTATCAAACTTTTTTGTCGGGATATGATAAAGTTAAAACTTTTAAATATTATTAATATAGTTAAAATAGTGTTTTTATATCTATTTGTCATGCAATATTTTATTATCTACTCATTTTTATGTTTTGAATTAAAATTTATAAACTAGTTTAAAATAAGTATTTAGAAAAAAATTTAGATAAAAATATTTAAAAAAGTTAAGCAATTTTACATTATAAATAATATATAAATAATAAATTAAAACAAATAAAAATAAATGTAAATAGTTATAACGTTGTAGTGTACAAAATAAATAAAAGTTCTGTTTTTAAAAGTGATTAGACTTAAACATTTAAAATGATTATTTTAGCATTTTAATGGGAAGGAAAAATTCAAACATTGTTTACTTGCAAAATATTGGATGACTTTGTTCATCTGGGTATTAAATGAAAGATTATATGTATTAAATGTAGGGCCGAACCTAAATAATTTATAAAAGTTTTTAAAAGAATAAAATCTCCCCAAAATTCATCTGTTTAAGCTTAATAATTGATCGGGTTACGTTTATATGGTTGTTTGTTTGGTTGTTTTATTCATCTGTTTATAGTAAACTTAGTGAAAAGACTTCAACTTTTAACTTCAATAAACTTTTCTAATATTCGGCGCCTTTTTAGGATATGGCGCCTATAATGTTCAACAGACTCTTTAGTGATTATCTACCCCCAAATAAAATTGGTATAGACTATGCAAGTTTAGTTTATTTAATCTGAGTAACTAATGGGGTTTAGCAATCCAAATTTAAATCAATTATATTAAATAACGCTATATGCAGTTTGCTAAGCTACTGAGTACTACTAAAAAACAGTTACTTACATCAAATTTTTTTTTTTGGTGATTGTTAAGTTGCTCCCTGAAGTTCTTCCGATCTTAACACTGACTACCGCGAAATAGCATTTAACTAAGAAGCTCACGCCTCACTCCTTACCTTATTGGGCTGGAGCCGGTGTCGAACCTCAAACTTCTTGTTTCTGAGCCGGAATTTTAAACACTGCGCCACGGCTGCACGCATTGTATTATTGTTTAAAGTGCTAAATGTTGAATCCGTGGCGCAGTGGTTACAGCACTTGCTTTATAAGCAGGATATCCAGGTTCGAAACGAGCTCTGGACATATTTTCGCGTCACGGTAAGGAAGGAGGCGAGAACTTCCTGATTGAATGCACTTCCGCAGTGTTCTGTGACAAGACCATTAGGTCTTTTTGGGGCACCTAAATAACAAAAAAAATAAATAAAAATAAAAGTAAAAAATCTTAAACCTGCATTAAATTTGTATTTCACTACTAAGTGGTTTGAAAGTTTGGTCCAGAAAAAGATTCTTTAGTTACCTATACTTATAGTTTGCATATGTCCTAATTTTAGGTATGAAAGCGCAACGAATGTTTTTATTATTTTTTTAGGCCATAGTCGGTGAAGTACAGGTTTCTCTCCCCTCTTTCTTTTAAAATCTCTTCGGGATGGCTCTTAATATATTTTTATTATATAACTATTAAATGCAAGCCCCCCGTGGCGAACATGTTTTTAGCAATTATTTACATATATAAACTCACTTTATTATAAGAAGTAAAATAAAGCCAGGGAAATATATATATATATATATATATATATATATATATATATATATATATATATATATATATATATATATATATATATATATATATATATATATATATATATATATATATATATTTATATATATATAAGGAGCTAATTCGATATTAATATAGTTGCTAAGAACGGGGGAGCACCCGTTATTAGCAACCATATGCATATATGAATTTTATTTGTTTGAAAAGAAAAGTAAAGATTGAAAAGCCAAAGAAATATATAAATTACGCGTACTTGATAACTTTTAAATTCAAGGGCAAATATTAAGTTTTTAATTTTTAAATTCAAACCCGTACAACCTGGTTTTAGCAACCATTTACATTTATAAATTTTATTTAAGATCATTAATATAAAAACTGTTTAAACAATTTATTTATAATAAAAATAAATTATATTCGTTCAAAATTAAATAGTTTTTTAACTTATTACATATTTGTAAATAAATAAATAGTTATTTAACTAATTTTTAATTATCTAAACTGATATTAAAATGTTTTACCTGATGATCACGATATATATGATCACGTCTAAACTAAATGATTAAATACTTAAAGCGCGTATTTTTATTACTATAATTAACAACTTATGCTTTACGCAATCTGGGCATCAGTAACTTGAATAATTGGATAATTATATATTATCAGTAACTTGGATAATTGGATAATTATATATTAGAATATTTCTAAATCAGTTTTATAATGGTATTTCAAGTTTTAAGATAAAATTTTTTTAGTAAAGAATTTACAAATTAAAAAATTCTTTAATAGGTGCTGTATCATTAAAGCAATTGGCCAGAGTTGTTACTTTTTTCAATAAAATATTTTAAAATGTTTAAAAATATACAAAAAGTATAGATAAGTAGGTCTGCGTTTTCGTATTTTTGTAGAAGCCATATAAAGTACTTTCTTAAGTTTGACTGTTCGTTTATTACGTATAATTGAGCTAACAATACACGGTGTTCAAATTAATTTTTAATGAACATATACACTATTTGCATTAGGGTAGAAATAAATCGAACTTTACGGTACTTTGCATTTACACGTTAGCTAGTAAAAATATTTAGCGTATTTTCACTTAATTGCCCATAATAAAATTTGGATTATGTTAAATGCAATTAGTTTGCATTTACCCAGGTAATTTGTCAACTAAAAAAGTGCAGTTTTTACGAAATAACAGTTTTGCTTGTGGGTTTTAATTATATTAATAATAAGTTAAATATGTCACACTATAAAACATGACTAAAATTCTCAGAATGTCAGTTTGAAAGTTTGTACAATTTTTGAACTAAGAAGGTTAAGCTCTCCTTTTTATATTTTTGCTAGTACATTGAAAAAAGGAGTCTCCAACTGTTAGCAAGTAGTAATTTTTTTAAACCTAAAAAATAGAACCCAACAATCACCAAAAGTTTTATTTTTTAATGTTGTTGTTTTAAACCTTTTGGTAAACAAGCAAAATAAGCTCAGTAAATTGAGTGTATTTAAATAACTGACTGTTAAATTTAATGCAATCTTGCAAATTTTATATTAAATTACTTGAATCTATTCAATTTTATATGGCTTAATTTTTGTGCCATATTAATTTTATTGAAAATTTAAAATCAAATGTGCATATATTAGTGTACAGTTGAAATTGAATAAATAAAATTAAAAAAAAATGTAAAATCTTTTTTTTTTCAACAAGACTTGAGATTTATTCTCTAGTGATGTAGATGCAAAGCATTTGTTTTGTAAGTGAGTAAAGTAAAAAAAGATAAATTTAAAAATTTAATAAAGATAAAAGTCTAGAAATAAAGTTACTACACAGAAAAAAAAAATTTGAATTATACTTACTTTTTATTCATATTGACTAATTATCGATTTTTTTCAAGACATTACTTTTTAGTAATTAAGTCATTTGTTTTGTTATAAATTGATTGAACTAGAAGTTTTGCCTTTTTGTCATTTATTTCAAATCCTTTATTTTTATCATTTTTTTTTCTTCTGTTTTTATTTATAGCATTTTCAGATCTCCTGTTATCATGTTTTAAAATTCCGATCATTATACTGACAATTTTAAAAAATATGGATTTTTGTCAGAGTCTTGCAGCATGTTATTTATTTATCATTACCGATGTTGTTGGAAATGTTGCGAGTATATTAAATTTGTTGTTAATAGCTATTGATAGGTAAATTTTACTTGCTAAACTGCAAAAAATCTTTTATTTGTTTTAAATTCTCAATGTTTAAATGAATGATGGCAATCTTCTGTAAACTAGTATAATAATTGAATGTAAACTAGGATAATACCTGACTATGTTGTTAAAATTCACGACTCTTATTGTTTAGATTTATTGCAGTGTCATTTCCGTTTCGATATTCTGATTGGATAACGTTGAAGCGTACAAAAATTCTATCAACTGGAATATGGTTGTTTGCATTTTTCTGGAGCGCCGCTGGTTTGTTTAAATGGGACAATGTCAAAAAGCAAGCTACTACAATAGACAGAGGTGTTTGTAAAAATACTAATCTTGTCTATTACGCCGTTTCATTTTATGGCATCTACATCACTGCATTAATAATAATGACATGTATTTATCTGAAAATTCTCCACGTTGCCAAGGGCCATATCGATGCAATAGACGCTGTAACACCTGCTCAACACAACCCTCATTCAGCAAGTATTAAAGAGCAGCTACTAAAAGATAAGCGTAAAAAGAGATTAAGTCGCGAACTAAAACTGACCAAATCATTTGGAATTGCGTACCTTGCTTTTTTAGCTTGTTGGCTTCCATCTTGTATTATTAACATCATCATTAAAATTGATCAAGACTACTTTCAAAATTTGAAACGCTCTCATCCAACTTTATTCGATTTTTTATACTATTTTTCAATTATTATCTTGCCCTCAATGAACACCATGCTTAACCCTATCATATATAGCTTTTATAATCAGCATTTTTTAAGAGCTTTTAAAGATGTGGTTAACAAGTTCATAATGAAAAGAAACACGTTTGCTGAAAGAAAATCAACAAAAGTTACCTCAGTTAACGTTTATAATTTCAACCACATACATCAAAAAAAAACTTTTTAAAATTATAAATAACAATCATTATACTTTAACTTGTATACAGATAAAAAAGGGGGATTTTTTCTGATAATAAATAACGTACAATATGTGTTTAATAATAAAACTTCAAGATGCTACCGTTTCGTGTCGAACTTCATTAATCCTTTTTTTCGTATAACAAAAAAAAGGATTAAAGATATGTATAACATGATATTATATTGCACATATGTATAACATGATATTATATTTCGGGTGACTGAGAGGATTTGCATGAGTTATTGTACCCAAAGAGTTATTCCAAATTTTCAAAATTACTTTTTCTTTTCAATAAATGCTGTATTGAAAAATCGAGAATAGTCATTGTAATCAAAAAAAAATTTTTGGAGATTTTTTCTGAGGCGGACCAACAGTATAAGAAAACATTCTTGCTGAAAAGAGTTGAGGTCTATTCACAAATAGTACTAAATTCCCCTTTACATTTTTATCATTTTAAAACAACAGCATTCAGCATTCAATCTTCATCATTCTGCATTCAACATTCATCATTCAGCATTCAACATTCATCATTCAGCATTCAACATTCATCATTCAGCACTCAACATTCATCATTCAGCATTCAACATTCAACTTCATTTCTTTAAATTCAATCAAGTTTTTTTATTACTTTTTGACGATTGCTTAATATTCTTATTTTTATCTTCATAAGCTTCAACTGAGTTAATTACTACACTAATTCAAAGACACACCTTAGCTGGCATTTAATTTAAAACGTCTTAAAACGTTTTAAAAATTTGATTTTTAATGTTTTTAAAACGTCTTTTAAACGTTTAAAACTTAAAAGCGTTTAGAATATGTTTAAAAAGCGTTTAAAAGACGTTCAGAACATAACTTTTAAAAACAAATTCCTGTTTGGACAGTTCTCTGCAGAATAAAGTTTGTCAATTAATAAAAAGTATATAACGTACAACAGCACCATAACAAGTTAACAGTTTGTTTATCTGTCTGAGTAATGTTTATGCTCTTTTTTTGTAACTCTAAAGACTACAATAGTTTGTAACTCTAAAGACTACAATAGTTTGTAACTCTAAAGACTACAATAGTTTGTAACTCTAAAGACTACAATAGTTTGTAACTTTAAAGACTATTATAGTCCGGTAAAGACGTAACAAATACTACTTGTGAATGTCTTTTGTCAAAATAAGGCAGATTATGAAAGGAAAATATGAAACAAACATTATTTTATGGTTACTTAATGACTGAAACTTTCTGATGCTTTCAAGTGTTTTAAGCTCTAAAAATAAAACAAAAATATTTTTAACAATTTCCAACGTTTGTTGCATAAAAGTAGACAAAATAAAATTTCACCAATAAAACAAGACAAGGCAAAATCTCACCAATAAAAAAAAAATTGCACAAACGCATAAAAGTCTACAAAATATTTTTACATTGGTTTTTGTTTATGTAAAAAATATTTTTGTTTATAAAAGCGATTTGCTTAAATTGAATTTCCATTTTTATCTTAGTTAGATTATATGGTCTTAGAAAACTGGTCAATTAACAATAATTTTTGGCCACCTATCTGATAAAAGTACTTCATTGCATTAAAAATATTTTCAATACCAAACAAACAAATAGTAATACCAAACAAACAAATAGTAATACCAAATAAACAAATAGTAATACCAAACAAACAAATGGTAATACCAAACAAACAAGTAGTAATACCAAACAAACAAATAGTAATACCAAACAAACACAAAGTAATACCAAACAAACAAATAGCAATACCAAACAAACAAATAGTAATACCAAACAAAGAAATAGTAATACCAAACAAAGAAATAGCAATACCAAACAAACAATTAGTAAATACCAAAGCTCAAAAATTTTACTGTATAACAAAACTGTTTTGTTATACAGTAAAAGTTTTGTTATACGAAATACACCTTAAGACATTTGTATTTAAAAAATTTGTATTTAAAAAATTTGTATTTAAAATCTTGTATTTAAAATCTTGTATTTAAAATCTTGTATATAAAATCTGTTATATGAAACATTCAAAACCTCGCTTATAAAATTTCTTAGCTAAATAAGTTACAATAATTTTTAGAATGCTGTTGTCTTGTCTCTGATAATATGTATTCTGGTACATTTGAATTTAAGAAGAAAAATTTTATCAAAAACAAAAACTAGTCGTCATAGTGCTTTAGGTTTATAAATTTGCGGCTACTTCAAGCCTCTCATTGCGCTTCGGCTACTTCAAGCCTAATCTCGTTGCGCATCACATGCATCTTATAGTTTGATCAGTTCACATGATTTTGGTAAATAAATAAACTAAGCACATTTTTTCTCATTAAAAAAAAATTATTTATGATACTATTTATTGATTGATACGATCTTATTTTTTATATTTTATTAAACTCTATTTGATTTTTAGTATATACGGGAGAGTGGGGAGAAATGGGACATTAAAATAATGTTTTAGAAAAATTTTTATTTCTTTTTTACTTGATGAATGAACTGAACCAAAAAAAAACCATCATTTCAGGCACTGATTTCATTCCTTAAAATTGACAGCAGGTTATAATAAAGTGTATATTTTTGATCTTAGAGGATTTGTGCTATTGGGACAAGTATGGGTAAAGTGGAACAATCTACCAATAAATAACATATTAACAAAAATTATTAATTAAAAAGTTTAAAATTGTAAATTACGTAACCATTAACAAAATTTTCCACAGATTTTCGGCAACAAAATTACTCAAAAGTGATCTGGAAAAAATAATTGAAAAATAGGTCAAATTTGACAAAAAATTAATCAATGTTATCAATGCTTCAATATTGAGACTTAATTTAGTAAAATAGAGGCTTAAGATAATATTTTTTATTTTTGTGTTTAACAAGCTCATGTGAGTGCAGAATGGGGAAACGGGGTGAGGGTTGGGGGAGATGCATATGAGCGTTGGGGGTACCTGTTGGATTTTTTATATATAATACTTTCAAGGATTGTCTAAACAATTAACAATTTCCGAAATGCTTCAAACTTATTATGTTTATACTTAAGTTAAGATATAATCAATTATAATAGTTTTGCAAATTGAAATTGTGGTGATGGAAAATACCCTAACAAGTTTGCCCCCACCCCAAATATAGGGGCAATGAGTTCAAAAAAAAAAAAAAAAAGATTATTTTGCCATCTCACACGAAATTTAAATTCATTGTTTTTTCTTTCATTGAATAATCTTTTTTGTTCTTCGAAAGTTATTATCATGCAAAGTTTATCACCCCCTCATTTTGGGGAGGGTAAAAGCTTTATACAGTTATATCTTTCGAACTTTAACAGATTATTAGTTAAGAATTGGTATTTGTCATTTTATTTCTCAACTAATAATAAATAAAAGTAATAATAAAAAAACAACTAATAAATTATAATAAACTAATAAACTTTTTGGGATATTCTTGTTTCCAAACTCCAATGATTTTATACGAATTATTGCAACTTTTTAAACATTTTATTTAATATTTTTGTATATACTTTTTTGTATAAGTAAATTGTATAGTACGAATATAAAGTAATACAAAATACAGGTTATACAGTTTATAACTTTATTCCACTACATCCTATCATGAACAATTTCCCATTTTTAAATATTGATTTTTTGAAACCTTTCTTACTTTCCAAGTTTTTATTTCAATTCTATATACAATATGTAAAATAAAATTCATTAATCCTAATCCAAGCATATTTTAATTAGGTGTAATCCCATAGCACAATGCTAGCCTATCTGTAAAAAATTCTTCTTTAAAGATTTTTAGATCACTCAAAATGTTAGGTGTGACATAACAAATCCGTGAACATCTTGTCGAAGAAGTGTCCGTGATGTAAACTAAAATTTTCCCATCAATCATTTAAAGAAATAAACTATAGTTGATCAAATCATACTTATGTCATGGAAGGCAAATTTTAACAGGATATAGATTAAAAATTTCTTTTTCAAAATTCTCCTGAATATTAAATACCGCTTCTTCATTTTCTTTAACATACTCCGGCATAACCGGTCTACAGAATCTAATACTCTGTGACATTATGTTGTTCCATAAAATATTGTTTGAATTTGAATGTGCATTCGAATTCAAAAAGGTGAAGAGTTGAAAAGGTGATATAGATCCAAATCTTGAAGGTTATTTTGATTGGAATTATTAAAACTTTGATGGTACTTTGAGTGACTTGATGGTCCCTACCTTAACCACTAATTAGTATTAATTCATCAAAGTCTTTTAATTCGTCAAAGTCTTTTTATCATCCAAATGTTTTAAAATATCCTTTTCCGTTAATTTAACAAGCGTCTTGGATGTGTGATCTATAAAATTCTGAATTTTAACTTTGGCATTTGTTTCAGTAACTTCAATGTTTTAAAAAAAAGTATTAGAAAAAAGTGAATTATTTTTTTTTGACAATATATAATTAAATTTCAATAATTTGTTGAATATTTTTATGTTTTAATAATACGCTGGCATAAGGTCAACGTTTTTATCAACAGAATTCACTGTTTGAGTCTTGGTGTTAGAAGCTCAGCATTCGATTTGATGAGACCTTGGTCTCTGAAAAATGTTGGCTTTGCGGTACTGACGAAACACTCGTAGGAAAATGTATCTGCTTGATGCAAACAACCTCTTAATGCCATTTAAACAAATAATTGCTTTTAATTGCTGCTCATCTATTAGGATGGCGTAGGTGTATTTATAATACATATTTTCCAGTTTAGGATGTCAAATGCTGAATCTTTTTGACTCATTGCATGGGTTTTGCTTATGTCTCTGTTTTTATGACCGGGTAACTCATTCTATTATCTCCTAACGAGGATACAACTTTAAAAACTGAGTTTAATCGTTCTAAGGCTAGCTAGTAGTCAGGTTTCTTGAACACTGTAATAGCTTTCAGAGGTTTTATCACCTGATTTAAATATCAAGTACTAACAGTAATAAATCAAGTTCAAACAGAGTCATATTAGTCATTTTGACGAGG